AAAAAAAAAAAAAATTCTGATCATTTACTCACCCTCATGCCGTACCAAATTTAAACCTGTATGAGTTTCTTTCTTCAGTTGAATACAGAAGATATTTAGAAAAATGTAGCTATTGACTTTCACAGTATATATATATATATATATATATATATATACACACATACACACATTTATTTTTTCATACTGTACCAAACATACAGGTTTGGAGCGACGTGAGGGTGAGTAAATGTTGACAAAATGTTAATTTTTGAGTGAACTTCAAGATCTTCAAGCCCCTTTAAGATCAAATTAATGTAGTAATACTTTGAGAAATTATGATAATAATGTCTAAGCATAATGACATTAAAATAGCAATAGTTTGAAAATAGTCAACATTTTGAAAAAAGTTGTAGTAAATAATAAAATAAATAAAATAGTTAATTATTAAAATAGAAAAAATATATAGTTAATGAAAAAAAATTTTTTAGAAATATAATTACGAGAATAAAGTCATAGCATATTTTGGAAAAAATATAAATAAAATAACAAGAATAAAGTCATAGCTTTATAAGATTAAAGTCTATGTGTGTCTAAATACGTAAGGGATAATGTAGCTACATCCAGCCGGTTGTTATCGCAGAATAACCCCCGACAGGGTGATCAGGACCCTGACGCAAACCCCGACGGCTACTTGCCACATAAGTAAATAAATAGACACGAAATATTGATTTGAGTTGAAATATTTGAATGCAAAGCTTCCGTGAAGACAGCAGTTGCGAGCAAGCAGCAAGTTCTAACTAGACGGACATTTAAGGGATACGGTGCAGTTACACGACATTTCACCACATAAATAATTATGGCGATAAAAGGTTTAAGACGAAACGGTTTTAAAATCTTACCAGTTTGTTAGTTATCTTATAATCCATTACAGCGTACAAAACAATCGTAGCAAAATGGCAGCAGCTGCGTTTGTATGAAACATGAGAGCAGGTCCGCGATACCAGGACGATATAATTAAATAATTGTACACAATTTTGAATCGAGTTTTAATATTTTATTAGCTAAGCAAACGCAAAGCTTCCACCAAGAAAAAACTGTTCCTGGCAAGAGTACAGCGCTGACTTCAGTTACCCTGTGTTATTCGTTTTTACCGGTTGTTATCGAGGGATAACAGACCTCGGAATGTTGCGACTGACCAATCAGAATCAAGTATTCCACAGAGCCGTGTAATAAAATGAGAATAAATTCCAAGCCATGTAAATACAACTGACTCCGTGTTGCCTAATGATTCCGAGTAAATCTTGAGTTAACAGTTCACTGGAGGAGAAGAGTAGCAACGAATAATGACAATATCAGCCTATTCCTCAAACAAAGCTTTCATATGGCTTATAATAAAAGAGCTGCATGAAGATTCTTTTATATATGCACTTCATGTACCACAGAGGAAAGAGAGTGATACAGGTTGGTTCAGAACGACAAGGTGGTGAATAAATAATTACAGATTTTCCATTCAGTGAATCATTCCTTTTAACCCTTAAAGTTGTCAAAAAAAATATAAGGCAGAGTACTGGAGAGCGGATACTCTAACTTAATTAATGTCTTGTTTTAAAAAGACACCCTCACTGCAAATGAGTCCCATCAAAGTTCTCCCATGGCCTTAAAACAAGATCTAGTTCCAATTACTTTAGAGTGAGGAAATTATGGAAAAATTGGACTAACACTGATATCAGTTATATGGCTATTTTAATGAATTCTGCCATGTTGAGGATACAATAATTGTATTCAGAACTATCATAGCCAACACTAAATTAGTCCGTTTTGCTGATTTAAATGTTATGGTCAAAGTCTTCGGGGTCTAAATTGGTCTCAGAGGATCTTTCACAGACAATGATTGCGCTTGGCTTTTGTGATGTATCAATACAGTGATGAGATTTCTTCAGCCCGGCACAATGCACACCACTCTTGGGATGGGCCAGCTGAAAGAAAAAATATATCCTTTACCAGATAAAATTACTTTTTCCTCCTGAAAGTCAGAAAAATGATCGGAACAATGCACTATTCAAGGCATCGGACAGCAGGAGGTGTGAAAAACAAGGTAGAATAAGGTTCCCTTTTATATCCTTTTTCTCATCCCCATACACCCCACTGCTGACCAGTGCAAAAAAAAAAAAATTCCAGGTATCCTAATGTTTAAAAAAAATAACACTATTATTGGCCACTATTGAATCCAATTGCAAGCAATGCAGGTTGTAACAGATAAGGACCTGATGGAATCTGTCTTTGCACTATCTGAGCCAAAGTGGTCTCCATATGAGTCAAATGGAACGGCGACGCATTGACAATTCAAATTGGACAGCAGCTTTGCAGTCAATTCACCCTGCAATCTACATGGATCCCCCCGCCGGCAGGCCCAGACGAGATTGCATTTTATACACAAAGGCCTTCACTTTGGAAGACCCTTCATATTCACTCACAATCTAATAAAGTCCCCTGGTTTGCAAGTGTGCTAAAGAATTCACTTCAAAGTTTCTTACAAATGACAACAAAATGGAAATTAGCTTAATTATTAAAGGAACTCCGAAATGAAAAATCTGTCATTATTTACTCACCTGCATAGCATTTCAAACTCGTCTGGTGTTATTTAATCTGTGGAACACAAAAGAAAACATTTTGATGAATTTTCAGTCAGCTATTTTTCAATGACAG